AGATGTTGTTGATACAACATCTTGAAAAAGATTTGATTTTTTTGTTCGTTTCTTTTCAATTGTATTTGAAGTTGTAAATGAATTTGTTAATTTTCTTTTCGTTGTATTTGTATTAACTTGTGAAAATCTTTTTTGTGTTGTCGGAATAAAATCATTTTCATCTGTATCTTCTATTGAATTATTAATTAATGCAGCAAAACGACCTAATGAAGGTCTTTGTTGAGTTGAAGTATTTAATTTATTATCTAGAAAATAATAAAAATATAAAAGAAAAATTAATTAGATTTTTATTTTCTTACCTTTTTTAAACATTGTCTAGTACAGATACAAAGAGAAAGAAAATTCAAACTTAATCAATCATTGGTACATTTTAAATTTCATAATTTTTCAAAAAGACAAAAAAAAAGAAAATAGCGCCATCTCTTTTACTTTAAATTTGTTTGGATATATTTCGATCAATGTTAGCAAAAATTGAACGACAATTTTTTCCTCATCACCTTTGTTTTAAAAAATGGATAGTAAAAGTAAGATTGTTTTATATATTAAATTATTTTCTTTTCCAATATAACAAAAAAAAAATATTTTCTTAAGGTGAAGAAATAAGTTCAATATTTGAACGTTTTCGTCAATATCTTATGACAAATGAGATAAATCTATTATTAGATGAATTTAATCATTATCGTACAACATGGTCAACAAATAAATTTCGTATGTTTTTAACTAATGCACTTGTTGTTATGCGAACATGGGCTGATAATCAACAACAAACTGTTATAACTAATCAATTTGAAGATTGGGATACAGAAGTAGTACCTACAACAAATTCAACAATTGGTGATAAAATGAAAACAACTGCTCATTATTTATTTATTAATATTGTGGATTATTTGCAATCAGCAGTTAGATCAGGACAATCAGATCGAATGCCAACAGATGTTGAATTTGATATGTGGAAACGTATTGTTACAAATAATTGGACAATGAACGAAAAGGTATCACTTTTTAGCAAGGATATAGAACTTTTTTTTTGTTTTCCATTCATTATCTATGTTTATAGTTTTTATGAAAAAAAAACAAATTAATCAATTAGGTCAAATGAAATTTCTTGTTACAAATATGTTATGAACTAATATTATTCATAGTATTATCATTGTTTGAGTCAGCATTTAGACATGTATCGAAACTGTTAGGATCATTTTTACGTAAATGAAGGCATATGATCTTATCTATTGAACCACGTAACACCATATTTTTACGTTGGTAGAAAATTGCAGTAGGGAAATGATATCAGAGGATTTCAGTAATGTTCTCCGACTACGTGCTAGAGTCAATCAAACAACGCATTCAGTTGTATTTTAGTTTTTTTGTTCAATCTCTTATTAAACTAAACGGTTCATTGAATAATTCTCCGTCTGACTGTCAAATGGTGAACATCCTTTTATATTTGTAGTACGACTAATTTGTTGATATAGTTCATGAGTTTAAAAGATTCACAAATTCTATTATTAGGTTTGGATACATGCTGCAGTGAAGTCAGTAAACACATGTAGACCTCATGACAACGATCAACTTTTTTTTTCTAAATAATATAAAAATATTGATCAAATTTAAGTAAAAGATTACATTTATTTATTTCTTTTTAGTTTTATATTCATCTTTATAATGAACACATATGCTTACCAACTCGTTTAACACGTTCATTACATAATGATATGTATAATTTTTATATTTCAACAGAAAAATGGTCATCATCAACAAAAATTCTTTTAATTGAATTAGATTTTATTTATTTATTAATTCATGATAATGTATTTCTTGGTTGTAATCATATTTTAACAGCATTAACAATATTTACTCTTAATGATTATATTGCTTTTACAAAACATAGTCAAATAGATCCATTGAATTATCAAACAAAATTAATAACATCAATGAATACACCAGAAAAAATGAAAGTATTTCTAGATTATTATCCGAATGTTGATTTAGCTGAATTAATACCGGGTAATAGTGAACTTTATCAACAACGAATACCATTAACAATATTTGATAGACTTTTAAAAATGGAACCATTTTATTATGAAACAATCGATGGTATAATATTAGAAAAAACACCAAATTTTACATCAACAAATTTAAATGTTCGACCAGCAAATATATTATATTTATTTCAAAAACTTATCTGTAACGGAGCTAAAGTGTGTAATGAAACTTCTTCTCATAGAAACATATTTGAGAGAATTGTATACATAAAGTCATTTTTAAACATCTATCTCGAGTTAAATCATGAGTATAATTATCTAGATTGACTATCTTCTATAGAATACTCTTAAAAAAAGAGATAAGGTCGTTGTTTAATGCACAACATCGCTCATTATTACTTTTCCAAATATCGATCAATGCTGAAAAATTGATTTATTCTGTCAAGATAGAGATTTTTTTATTCAAGTTATTTGAAGCAATAGAAATGTTTGTAAAGATTGTTTCAGTGTATAGCTATTGTATGGAATTGAAATGTTTCTATCAAAAAGTCTAAGCACCTTCCAGCAATAGAAGACCCTTCTTAATTCATTGATGTCTCAAAAAATTCGAACTATAAATCTTCGTGATCAACATTGTTTCTATGCTTCTAAAAATCACTTGTTAATTATTTTACTTTCCTCAAACACCTTTTTAATTAGAAATTATGAAAATAGATTGACCACAATAGAAGACCTAGGATCTTCTATTGCGGAGTGAAGGTTACTCAAATTTTATTTTTGAGATTTATTAGATTTATTCAAATCGTTAAAAACTTATCTTCGAATTATATGTAACAGATTTTAAAAGAAAATGAATTCTTATCATTGTATATTTTATTTTATCTTGGAATAAATAATTTCTGTAAAGAATGATCGTTCTTAAGAAAACCAGTGAATAAATTCTAATAAAAATATAAAATAATCGATTTGTCTTGTTTTTCTTTCCCTCTTCTAGCTTTCAATAAATCTTGATAGTGCTTATTATCAAAATCATCGTATTCCATTTTTTGTTTCTACACTTGGTTTTTATCTTCTTTCAACGATTCGTTATCGTGATGTTGTTATTATTCCTTCATCTGATACAGCAAATGATAGCGATAATGATATTTTTCCTAATTCATTAACAACAATTAAAATAGATCAAAATTTAAATCCAATATATCTTGATTCACTTAATAATAATTATATTTATTATCTTATAAAACGTGCATCAACATTTCCTCCATTATTTCGTTCATTTTTTTTCAATCATTTACACTTATGTTATCCATTATTACATAAATCTCAATTTATGAATTATAAAAATTCTATAAAAAATATTCGTCTTCGTTCATTATATGATGAAATATTTGAACAACGAACATTTCTTACACTTAAACAACGTTGTCGATTAATAATTAAAGAATCAATTAATAAATATCCATTAGATATAAAAAATTTAATACAATTACCATTAACACTTCAATATTATTTATCATTTGATTTTTTAAATCCAAATTTTGTTCAAATAACATTAGAGAAATTAAATCATGTTAATGGAAGAATTAAACCATCATTTTTTGATGAATTACAATTTCATGAACATGGTCTAGCACAGATTAATGGGCATAATGATTGGGAAGATCAAGTGCCTGAAGATATTGATTATGATAACGAACATGATAATGATGATGAACCTGTAAAATAATTTTTTTTTTAAATCTATTCTTGTTTTATTTTTTTTTTTATTATAGGATTATGATGACGATAAAGAAGATGCTGACCTTTTTGATGAAGAAGGACTTTATTCAGATAATGGCGAAGAAGATGAATGGTGACTAATTTACAAAGTCAGATTAAATGAAGATTTGTTTGTAATATAATTGCATATTGCTTTGTTTTGAAGAAAAACATTTTCTGTATCATTTGTTTTTTCATATGTATTTGGACGAAAAAGATTTATATAATAGATTTTTGAATTTTAAAATATCGATATTTTATGTTTATATGATTTTTAATAAGTGTCTATTCATGTATGAACGAGAAAACGTTTTTAAGTGTTAAATCACTTTTGAGTCAGGACTATATACATCATGTAGATTCTAATAAGCCATGAATATCCTTAAGAGAGTTCGGTCTGAGAGCTTATTACTGCTGAGATATTGTATAACGCCTTAATGAGAATAGTTTACTATAAAAGTTTTAGATCTTTTGATTGCTTCTATCCTAAGATACAGCTATGGTAAGTGCATGTCTTCCACGTCGTTCATATGTAATGGCTAATTCCGATGCTATTATTTCAGAATAAGTGCAATCGAAAAATCTGAAACTTTTACCAGAAACTATTCTTGTTAGGATTCGTTTCTTTGCAAAGTTTCAATTCGAAATTTAAAAATCAGTTTTTCTTGTATTTCTGAGAGGGACTAAGGTATACATTTAAAAAGTACTTTAAAGTACAGTATCTCCGCAGTAATAAGCTAACAGTACGAACTCCTTTTAGAATATATGCATAGTTCATTTTGGTTTGCATGATGCACCCTCGTTAGATTGTCTTTTGAAATATTCTGTGTGAATATATACGAACATCGTACTATTGTACAGTGATAAATAAAGACGATTGGTAGAATTTATTCGATTATCAGTATAGTTAAAAAAAAAAGAAAATGATTAGAAACATTTGAATGAAATATTGTCAATAAAATAAACTATCGTGATTCGATCATCATTTTTTTGTATGACATTATATAAAATAATAAGTCTTGTATTATGTGATATTCAAAAGCAGTACTTTTTATATTCAAGAAAAAAAAAGTGCAAAGTCAATCAAACGATTCCGAAAGTCGGTATTTGGCGCTATCTATCATAAATAATGGTTTAGATTACATCATTGATTTGCTCATCTTTCAATCGAACCGTTGAATTTAAATATCATCGTATCTTAAAAAAATTTCAAAAATAAAATCATTACTTTGTTTTTCTCTTGGATTGAAAATTCAAATAATGTCTAATACAATATCATTATCACCCGACAAAAATAGAAAACGTCCATCTGTATCTTCAAAATGTTTATTAAATATAAAATCTATTGTTACTCAAAATGTTTCAATAAATAATAATAATAAAACTGCATGCCTACGTTCACCAACATCAATACCTCCGCCATTACCAGTAATCAATTCATTAATATCATCAAAAGATTCTATCAATAATTTCGATAATACAAAAGAAATTGAAAATAAAAATCGAAAAAAATCACAATCATTTCCAAATCAAAATATTCTTATTGAATGTATAAAAAAATCTGATTTGAAAAAAACATTCGATCAACAAATTAGTACGATAAAGTAAAATTCAATTTTTAACAAAAACAAAAAAAGAAACATTTTCATTGATCTTGTCTTCTCTTGTATAGTGGACATGATCGAATACAGTATGAAAATAGTAAATCACCATCAATATCTATTGAATTATCTCAAGTATCAATCAATAAAACAGAACATCGAAGTAAGTCTAATAAATCAATTTCTTATATGAATAAATTTTCAATTACAGAATTACCATCACGTACATCTTCTAATTCTAATATTTCTAAGGAAACAAATTCTGAACAAAATTCTTCTCAAAAATGTAAGTATATTAATATTAAATAGAAGATTCCATAGATTTCTCAATAAAAATTTTTTAATCATTAAAAAATATTAAAAAATAATCATACATCACTTGGTAATTTCCTTACTATATTGCTATTGGTCCATGGAAAATAATGATGATTCTTTATTCTCTTATCTATGTATATGTATGCCGATACGTGTATATTTTTTTTCTCTTTTAAATAATCATTCTGACTAAATCATAGCTCCGTATACTGTTCTTTGTATTTTATCTTTGGTAGAATAACAAGAGAATAAACGGTAAGATCTTTTATATATAGTGTCGAATATTAGTTTAGAACAGTTTTATTTTTAAGTTTTCTTCTCCATGGTAATAGCTAGGGAGAATATGAAAAAACATATGAGTAGCTAATAGAATTCTCTATCGGGATTTGCAGACATAACAATTCCAATAAAACTATTTAGATGAGGATGTCTGAAAAACCTAGACCCATAAAATCAGTTTTCCGACATTCATTCAAAACTTTCTGAAAATGGTTTTATTTGATAGAGCGAAATTAGATGTCTTCATGACCTTCCTTCATCGAATTGTATTCAATTTATAGAAGGTTCTGGACGCATTTTTCTTTTGTTTTTATGAAAAATTCCAATGATTTCTCCGTGTTTGACGCTTTGAGGTCTTCTATAAAATGAATGCAATTCAATGAAGGAAGGTCATAGAGACATCTCATTTTGCTCTATCAAATACAACCATTTCCAAAAAACTTCAAATGCATGTCACAAAGTTGGTTTGAGGGGGTCTTGATTTTCCAGATATCTTCATCTAAACAATTTAGCTGAAGTCTTCAGACTTAAAAATTCTAATAGAGAATCGTTTGAGCTAGTCAAATATTTTTTCAAATACTTCCCAACTATTATCATCGAAAAGAAAATTCAAAAATACAACTGCTCTGAACTTATATCCTTGCCAATATATTAGAAAAAATTCTTGAAGAATGTGATGATTCCAAACATGAATTGAATTTGAATTTATTTTTTTTAGTAATAAGATTTTTCAAGTATAACCTTAATGAAAAAGATAAAAATCTTTGATTTTGGAAAAAAGAAAACATATTATAAAATCTTTATTTCAGCTTTACAAATGAACAAGAACGAGCCATCAATTATTCCACCTCTTCCATTAAAGTGTTCTATATATCCTTTTGATTTATCTTCGTCTTCTGATCGTACGAAACCATTATTATCATTTCCTACTCAACCATCAAATAATTTAAATGAAACTAAACTCAATGAACATTCGATTCCAAATTGTCAATTAATACCTATACATAGATTTGATTCAACATCACAAAGTATTTCTACGTAAGTTTAAACAAAACATCATATAGGATATTTCATAAGTTGTGATGCGCAACAAAAAATAATTACACCTGTTTAATATGACAAAGCCTTGAATATAAAATACAATAAAAAGAAAATGATATTATTGTTACAAAGGACTCTATCGAATAAGATTACCTATTCAGAATTGCGAAACCAAATATACCATGTTGTAGAGCAAGTCGAGGTGTATCGAATAGTATATAGTAACTCTTATTTTCATAAGACTTTGAAGGTACTAGAATTAATTTATTGATAGATGACTATGCATCCAAAGCATGATCAGTAACTACTGATTATGCTTGATCCTAGGTCCTTGGCATCAATCGAAAATGTTTGTAAAAAAAACTTTCTTATTTACAATTTTATAGAGATTTTCAAGGCCTGCAAGCTCATATACTTAACATCTTCGATCATCCTCTCTCTGATAGGAAACAATGCGACTTTTCAATGATTTACTACAGTTTCTCACTAATGGTAAGTCTCCATGTCTTCATTGTAGTTATAAGTTGAAGTGCACGTGTGCTTGAAAGGAAGACCCACATCGTACTGCTCTATCTTCTCAATTTCGAACAGGTGACCTTATCCGACTGAATCCTTTGTAACAATAATATCGTTTAGTCTTTTTTCTGTCAGTTTTTCGTAGCATTGAAGTTTGTTATTTTTTCAATGCATTTCATATTCAAGTTTTATCGTATTACGCACATATCGATTAGGGATTATTCTGTCTGCATATAAACTAATTTTTGTAGCGCCTTCAAGTCATATAAAACATTCTATTTTATGTTTATCTTTTTCTTTCAGTATTGATGAAGATGAAGATGATGATATTAATTTAAGTCAATCAATTATTATTGTTAATAGTTCATTACATTTACCAGTAGATCCAATAATTTCTAATCAAACTATATCAATGAAAGCACGTTTAAGTGAACGTACTGAAAAAGAATTTTATAACCATCGAAAAGTAAAAATGAATAGTTATGATCCAAGTCCACATTTTTCAAGAAGTTATACACGTTTACCACATTCATTACGTAATATGAATTCTTTGGAATCTGGAACAATTCGATCACCAACAATGATTACTCCTGCTTTTCGTCGTCAATTTCCTCAATTTGAATCTGTACGGACACCTGTACAAAAATCATCAATGATAAAACAAGAATTTCAATCTAAAATACCTTCAGAATTATTCGATTGTTGTCAAACGTAAAATTTTTTTAATTTATTATATATATATATATTTAATATAGAATATTTTTTAGTGAAACAGTTTCTCTAACAACAGAAATAATTACAACACAACGTAGTGTTAATCAAAGAAATTCTCAACGACAAACAACAACAATTGAAACTAGTTTAAATGAATCTGAAGCTCGTTTGAATTATTTTCGTGATGTAGAAAAAATACGTGAAATAATGATTAATGTATCGAAACGATTAATCCAAGAAAATGATTCAATAACAAAAATACCTATTGTTGATACTCATTGTCATTTTGATCTTATTTTTGATCGGTAAAGATTAATGATAAAAACAAGAAAAAAAAAATTTTTTTTTATTTTCTTTTATTCGAAATTTTCCTTTTTAGTCTTCGTATTAAACATAATAATTTAAAAAAATATTTTAATGATTATAATGAATATTATCCATCGGGTCTTTCATTTGAATTAGCTATTCAAGTTTTTTGGCGACCAAAACATTTAACTGAAAGTAAAATTTTTCTATTTTTAATTGGATTTATTTATATATAATTAATCTGTATAAATAGATAATTGGATAAATTGGTATTCAAGTTATTTAGATGATGAACGTGTTTATGGTTCTTGTGGTATACATCCACATTGGAGTTCAGCATGGAATGAAACATCAATTGACGATATTGAACGATGTTTAAAACATCCAAAAATTGTTGCAATCGGTGAAATTGGTTTAGATTTTGGACCAAAGTAAAATTATTTACAATATTTAAAAAATAAATTTTTACATATTTTAAATTTAAGAAATGAATGTTTAATACATGAACAACGTCGAGCTTTTGAAGCACAACTTAAATTAGCTGCTAAATGGTTAAAACCAATTGTTATACATTCTAGAGATGCTTATCAAGAAACATTTCAACTTATGAGACAAGTAAATAATTATTTTCAATTTCATATCACTACCTGAAGTCTACGCAAACTTCAGACAATTTCATTTTTACTGTAACTCATGTTTGGAAACGTTTTAAGAAAAATGAGAAAAGAACGATAAGATAATGCAAAAAGATTAATAAACAGTATTTAGTTAATTGTGTACCTTATCATCGAATTTCGGCGAAGAGCATATTGACCGCTTAGACCAACCGTTCTTCTCTTGAATTTTCTTCCTCTACGTCAAACAAATATGTCATGAAGATTTTATTAATCATTATAAACAAAAAATAATTAATGATTCTTTTAGATTCAGATTTATTTCTATTTTCAATAATTTTTCTGAAATATTGTTTTTTGTTTTTTTTTTTAGTATCTTGAACCTGATCATAAGATTCATTTACATTGTTTCGTTGGAACAATGAATGATGTTGAACTTTTCACATCTTATTTTACGGAAATAAAATTTGGTTTTACTCCAATTATAACTCGTACTAATTTTCTTCATACAACTATACAACAACTTGAATTAACACAAATTTTATCTGAAACTGATTCACCTTATTTTACACCTGAAGAAGTACAAAAAAACATATATTTATCCAATAGAAAAAAAAATCTTTATTATATCATTTTATATTTGTATATTTTAGTTATCTACACTTTCACGTTGTGCACATCCTGGTATGGTTTATAGTGTTGTTGAAACGATAGCACAACTTCGACATTTACCTGTGATGGATGTTGCTTGTCAATTAAGAGAAAATGCTCGTCATATATATGGTGTTTAAATATATAAATAGTTGTTTGTTTTTCTCATTGTGCTTGACAGTGTGTATTTCTCTTATACGTCAAATGATCTAGTCGATTTTTGTTTGTTTGTTGATTCGTTCATATTCTGTTTCTTTTTTTTTGTACGCAAATTTTCATCTTTGTTCTTTTTGATTGATAGAGTATTACTTATTTGTTCACATGAGGTTCAAATTAAATATAGTTCATTTAAAAACAAACGGTATTTTCCAAAAAACAAATAATTCATTTTGATTTATTAAAGAAAAAATTGCTTGTATGTTCTCATCAACCATAAATTGAATAGAAAATGATATAATGTATATCTCTTCTATGTATCAATGAAAGTCGAAGAGAAAGAATTTTAATTGTTTTTCTTTTAATTAATTTTCATGAAAATAATCAATTATTTGAAAATTATGACGTTAAAGAAATTTTAACTTTAAAGTCAAGAGATTATTTTGCTGAGTAATCTAGCAGGAAAAATGATCATGTGTAAGGATTAGAGAGGTGTGAGAGCACAAGAAAGAGAAATTGCTGAGACTAGGATCGTGACTAAGACAAAAAAATGGTTTCAACCGGAACTAAAGATTATTGCTAAATGTTCTATAATTTTAAGGGAATTATCTTATAAATCATATCAATCAGTACATAATTTAAGAGAGATGACCCAAAAGAGTGCTAGTTGTCGACTAAGTAAATCAAGAAAAAAATGAATATTGATGAATTCTTTTTAGATGTGATACGAATATATTCTGGAATAGTTTCCTCTACACAGGGACTGGAATCAAAAAAATATGGTATCGTACATCTCTAGGAAGGATCCTAAAAGTTGTCCATAGGAACTTGTTTTTAATGAAACATTTTTAATATGTAATTATTCATTTTCAAAAGATTCAGATGATGGCATATCACAATTCAGTGTATAATTATTATTAAAGCTATCTTCTCCTGTTCGAAAATGTTTGTTACATTCGATAACAGTCTTAGCTGAATCACATTTTGCATATGTATCAAATAATGATGCATTCAATGTATAAAATGCATGTCACCGTTTAAATATATCCAGTAATATTCAACCAAAATCTTTTAAACTAACAATAGCTAATGCAGCAGTAAATGCTTCAACACAAGATAATTGACAAGGTTTACCTAAATAATGAATCTAAAACCATAAGGAATATCAAATAAATTTTGATATTCTTCAAGAAATATTCTTTTCTCTTACGTGCTTTGTTTAGTAGAATACGCTAATATTTCTTTCTAGTCTATGCTAGAAGTTAAGCTTCCTATCTCTTCTAATCTTAGGGATACAAGTAAAGCCATCGACACATTAGAAGACCCGGGGTCTTCTATTCTGTCTTATCATTCATAAGTTAAAAGGGGGGTCTTCTATGATGTCCCTTAAAAAAGTCATATTTTTTGGCAATCCCACTTACAAACCTTAGCTTCACTTGATTTTTGTCCAATATATCGTTAGTAAATGAGTTTGCTTCACTTATTGCACATGTGTAGAGTAAGAAAGAAACAGATATCATCCTTTGAAAAAAAGGAGACCATTGTTGGTAAGAAGTGTTCTTAGAACAATACAGTCAACGTAGCCTAGCATCTTGGTACGATATCCCATACCGTTCTTTTTTCTCTAGGCTAAGACCCATCATTGGCAACAGTTTGCCTTCTCAATAACTAAATAAATGTAAAAAAGAAAATTAATTATTTTTTATCAAACTCATTTTATTCAGTTGCTTATGTGAAGATTTGATTAGTGTATATGGAATCTATTCACAGTGAATTCTGCTACTAGCAGAGTTATTAATCTCAAGCTAACTTCAATGAATACGATTGTCTTGTGAAGAAACCATCTATAAAAAATCAGCAGTTGAATACAGACACTGTTTTCTTTTGCGTCTGTTTCAAAAAATGCCATTGGATCTTATTGAAAAAAGAAATGCGTTCTCAAACTCAAAAGAAGTACTCACATATCAAATCTCGACGTATATACAGTCTACGCAAAAAATTCTGGAACACTCAAGAATGACTCTGCAAAATTTTATCTTTCGTTTGAAACAAACTTTATATATATTTTTTAAGTATAGTTACTGGTTAAACTTTCGTACTTTACTCTACAGATGCAAAACTTCTAGTTTTAATATTATATGAAACTTTAACCAGTAACTATACTTAAAATATATATAAAGTTTGTTTCAAACGAAAGATAAAATTTTGCAGAGTCATTCTTGAGTGTTCCAGAATTTTTTGCGTAGACTGTACATGAAGTTATGTTTTCTTCAATTATGAAACACTGTTTTGTTGTGAAAACGTTTCTGATTTTCTAGAAGAAAGTCAAAGATAAAGAGACCTTTTAATTAATACAAAGTGGCATTTTACCTAATCTGTTATTAGTGTACAAAGATCCCTTCATGTGTTACATGCACGAACGGGCACTACGCTCATTAGATTCTATGACTATGAAAGCGTGTTTTTTCGTGTATAGAGCCTGAAGAATGTTTTCAAAGTAAGCTGCAAAGGAGTACTAAAATGACTCTATGATATGTTTTTACAAAGAAACGCAATCTTCAATAGATAGTTGTTTCCTATTAACTGCTTCTCTAGATTTTACTCATTCGAGTCTGATACTTCGTTATGAGGGAGGAAGCAAAATATTATTCGTACTGAATTTCGATATCATTCTGGGCTTAAATACTAAACAAGTCAATAAACTCCAGAAACTATTTCAAAATGTCGATTTTTTAAGGGGGGTCTTCTAATATGTCTTTTGCGTCATTTATTCATGGGGGTGTGTATTATATGGGGGGGGGGGGTCTTCTAATATAGGGGGGTCTTCTAATGTGTCGATGGCTTTACTTTACTTGTCAATTAAGCTAAGAAACTATCTTGTTTTTTGCTTAGTTTAATCGAATCAAATTTATGATAGATATTCCCATTTCTCATTTGAGACTTTATATCTTTTTCTTTTGTGTTTTCCTTTTGAAACAAGAATTTTTTTAAAGTAAAAGATGGAACTAATGGTAACCTCGTCTTTGCTTCTCTTCAACGAATTATTAGTTATAACACTTTGAAGTACAATATTATCTAGACCAAAGTACCAACAGATACTTTGCAAATCGAAATAAAATACTAGTTTACATTCTATTCTAGATTTTTGTTAAAAACACTGCATACAAGCACATTTGATATGGCAACTGCAAAACCTCTTTGTGGTGAAGTATAATTGTTTCAAAATCATTAAAAAAAAGAATATTTCCACGCTTAATTTAGGGTACATCGACTGATATATTATCAAATGACTACCAACTTACAGCATGGAAAGATTTAACAAAAAATATTAATAATCAAGTTAACAAAGTGGGTGTGGGTGTGGGTGTGGGTGGGTGTGGTGGGTGTGGGTGTGGATGTGGCGTGTGGGTGTGGGTGTGGCTGTGGCTGTTAAACTAACAAATATATTCCCACCCCACATCCACACCCACATCCACCCACACCCACACCCACACCCACATCCACCCACACCCACACCCACATCCACCCACACCCACATCCACCCACACCCACACCCACATTCACCCACACCCACATCCACCCACACCCACAACCCCCATCTACACCCACACCCGTATAATCTCGATTGTGTAGTCGTACTGTGTCACGTCGCTAACAACAAATAAATCGGTTTTTTTGAAAAATCTAGACATACTCAGAAAAATTTTGGATATAGACTTTATAGCCTTAGAAGTCGTCTACGAAATGCCGTATTTAGTTTTCTAAAATTGTGTATGAATTGGGAGTTATTAAAAACTAAAATACACGAAGTGGAAATCGATGTCCTTTTTTGTGTCACGTCGCTAACGGTAGTTTTTTACCAGTAACTCCTGTAAACAAAGCTCCATAGCGCTAATTTTTTTAGGGTATCTAGAGTAACTTAATGTCCATACAACATATAAAAAATCAGATCTAAGAGAGCTCATTATCTCGAGATACACATATTTTAATTTTCCGAAGTCACGTCACTAACAAATGATTGTGCCCATATATATTCTTTGTTTTTTAAAATTAAGGCAAAAAAAAGACCATGGTCTATGTAGAACAATTTGTATCTAAAATATCTAATCTATATTATTTCGAACTTATTGCACAAGGTTATCTGGATCTGACTGATGGCCAAAAATGGGAATTACTTGTTTCACATTTGACTATATTCAACTTTTGATTGCATCTTCCATGTTGATTACCAGATTTTTCCGAAGAAAATATTCTTGATTCATTTTGTTCACTATTTTGACTTGAACAAAAACGCTGATTTATTGCCTATGATGGTCCATATTCGCGAAATATCTTTACGATACCTCGTTTTACATCAAATATTCTCGTATGTCCGAATATTTATTGGCAACCAATATGCACATCATCCAATTTCTGTTTTGATAAATATATTTATCAAGTTGATTTGTCATTATTTAATCCAATTATTTAACGTTTTACCAATGTCACATCACTCGTATTCAATATAGAAGACACCAAGGGTGGGTGTGTGTGTGGGTGTGGGTGTGGGTGGGTGGGTGTGAGTGTGGGTGTGGGTGTGGGTGGGTGTGAGTGTGGGTGTGGGTGTGACAGAATAGAAGATTCCAACCCACACCCACACACCCACACCAACACCCATATCCGCATCCTAGTAAAAAAATAATGAATAAAAAGAAAAACAAATTCGTTTTATTTTTTAATTATATATGATCAAAATAATAGACTTTGGACTGGTGAGTTTGTTTCGAAATGAAAGAATTCATGTTGAAAAATTATTGACGACTTATTGTGGCACAACACCTTATATATCACCGCAGGTAAATTGATTCTGATGAAGATGAATAAAATGTGATAAAAAGTGTCTTTTAGATTTATTCTCGATTACCCTATCGAGGTGAACCTGCTGATATGTGGTCTTGCGCTATTATTCTAATATTCATGTTGACCGGAAGTAAATATTATTATA